TTTGGGGTTTAGGGTTAAGGGGTCTAAGGGTTTCTTCAAGGGTGCCATCACGGGTACTTTAAGGATACTGGCAGGCGTGCTATGCGGCTTTTCTTATCGGAGGTTGGGTTCACACACAATGTAAAGAAAATCGCGTAGCTATAGCCCAAGTATGACCTACCAGTACGTACCGTCTTAGAATTATAGCATAGCATACCCCCAAAACCCTATTCTACTTATTAGGGCCTCTACATTAGGCATTTTGACCCGTAGACTTCTGTCAGAAGCCTTCCCGGGTGCCCCTACCAGCTGGTCAGAGACTCCAAAGCCCTTAGTTAAGGAATAGACCTTGGGAGCCCTAATAAGATTTAAGCTCTATTCCTTAATCAAGTGGTTTTGGAGTCTCTGGGAACCCTAAACCCTAAACCCCTAAACCCTAAGCCCTAAAACCCTAAACCATAACCCCTTAACCCTAAACCCCCACACCCTAAACCCTAAGCTGGTCCTGCAGGCACTGCGCGACTGGGTGACCAACATCCGGACGACGTGACTTTGCTTCCTTCAGGACTTCCTCAAGCAGTCGAAGGGTTCAGGAATCTTGGGGGTTTACGGTTTAGAGTTTAGGGGTTTCGGGCTTTAGGGTTTGGGGGTTCAGGGTTTAGGGTTTAAGGGTTTAGGGTTTAGGGTTTGGGGGTTCAGAGGTTTAGGGGTTTAGGGTTTAGAGGGTTTAGGGGTTTAGGGTTTGGCTTAGGGGTTTAGGGGTTGAGGGTTTAGAGGGGTTTAGGGATTTAGGGAGTCAGGCCTAGGCCTAGGCCCGAAACTCCACAGCACTACATCACTGAGGATGGAAGTTTCGTCGTATCTTAAAGTCTTTTGTTGGTGGAGAAGGCGGAGTACAAGGAAGTGCATGTTAGTGGCCTGAAAGCCTAAACCCTACGCATAGGCCCTAAGTAGTTCCTCTTTGGGATTACCCTATAGGATTCTAAATATAAACCACATCAAGGCACCACTTCGGGGCCTATGGGTAAAGCCTAAAACCCTAAACAGGAATTAAGACGCTGGTTCGAACATATACCCTTAGCATCAAAATAGCCCAAAAGCCTTATATAATAGGGTTTTTGGGCCCAAAAGCCTTACAATATGAGTCCTTCGATGCTAAGGGATAACATGTTTTGGTTCAGACGGAGGGTTTTGCAACCTCTGGGCCCTAGGAAGTTAGCTCTTGGAGGAGTCTAGGGTGGAAGGGGGTGGCTAAGCATACGTGCATAGAACTTGCGAGTGCGACGAACTTTCGTCCTGCCGCAGTATACTCTAGGGCAGTTTGTGGTCCAGAATTTCCAGGGATTTTGTGCTGAGGTCCCTGAGGGATGCGCAATGCAGGAGGTCTTTCCTCTTTTGCGTTCTAAGTCTTATGGATATCCATGACATACATCGGTGTTCGCAGGGTTGGGGGGGCCATGTCGCCCGCCATGTTCTGGCAGGGCTTGGGATGGATTGTTGTGTGCATTAGACCTTAATCAGGAGACTCAACAGTTGGGCTGCAAGTAGTTGCACAACCAACAGGGTTTAGGGTGTAGGGTTTAGAGTTAGCAAATCGAGACTCTGAGCCCAGGCACTACATCATCGGGAGCGCCGTCGGTCCGCATCCCTTCCCGGAGACTTGATATCAACAGAAAGCTGAAGCGGGGTAGGGTTTAGGGGTTTAGGGGTTTGGGGTTTAGGGGTTTGGGGGTTTTGGGTTTGGGGTTTCGGAAAGATGAATGAAGCGACCAAGAATGGCTTTCTTTCACACACATGTGGGTAGTTCTCTAATTTTGGCTCCCTTTTTAAGCCCCCAATATACTACGGCACCCTTATAAAAAGGACCCTAAAAGGGACCAGAACTACCCATATCTTTTGCGTTGCTTCTCAGATGGCAGGGGACCTGTATATGTGTTATAAGGGGTGTTGTACAGGCTTTAGGGTGTTAGGGTCTCGGAGAACTTACCCCCGTGTCTGTGAGCGCCTTGACGTTAGGAGCCTGTCCCTAAGAGGCCCAAAGTAGGTGTTACTGTGGATGATCTAAGTCCAGCATTACCTCAAGGACCCTAAACTATATGGGAATTATGGTATATTCCTTAGTAATTATGGGTAACGCAGGATTTATATTATTCAGCCGTATTTGTGCTTTGGGGATCCTGGGTTCTTGTGTTTTCTACGACAGAGATTAATCGACCTTGCCGAGAGCGAAAAGACCCATCATCTGTTTTGTAGCCCAGGTATTATAGGGCCTTTAATACTTGCCTACATTATTTTGGGGGGCTCCTTAGTAGAACTATAGTATCATATACACAAACACCCTGTTCGTCCCTAAAACCTAGACTTTAAGGTTTAGGGTTTACAGTGTTTATGGTCTAAGGTCGACTCTTTAGCCCGCAGAGGCAAAGTGTTTCGACCTTTAAGCCTTTAAGGTAGACTGCCCGGCTCCATGAGGGAATATGCCTCGAACCAGAATATTAAGCCCCCAGTTGTCTACGGTTTGTAAGGGGGTTTTGGGCTTTCTCGGCGCGCTCCTGGGCAATTTGTCGGTGGATTTCGACTGGCGAGAAAGGGGGGTGGGTTGCCTTAGATTCCGGTTTAGGTGTTTATGGGTTAAGGTTCATGCATGGCTTCCCAGAGACTCAAAAACCCCTTAATTAAGGAATAATCTTAAATCTTATTAGGGTTTCTATTATAATTTAAAGTATATTCTTGATTAAGGGGTTTTGGAGTCTCTGTGTGCTTCCAGGCCCAAAATACACATGTTTCACACACAGGTACACTGACTCTTTTGGCGAGTAGGGTTTCGGGCCCTACAACCAAACCGTAGGGAATGCCAGCACTGATCATCCTGTCTGACTCTTTCTGGCTACTATAGCAGCTATTCTTGTTCACACTGTTTGCAATTAGTCTTAACCTCGATATTAGCATTATTCTCGCCAATAATTGTTGAATGTGGCTGGCAAGTGTAAGGACATCGTCCGTGATCTTCAATCCGTGATCGGCAACGAAGCTCGAGCTCAGACGCTCGGCCGCTCTAATCTCGGACTGGGCTTTTTCAGCGAAGGTGCCCAGTACCCACATTTCTTGACGCCTTATATTGTAAGTTTTGTGTCCTTGATACCCTTCCAGCACGTATGTGATACCCTTGCAGTAGCCTTATGTACTGTTAGTGTACCCGTTTTGGTGCCCACCCTTACACTACACTTAAACTACCCTTGTGGCAGCCTTATAGTGACCACATCCACAGCCGCGAGGGTTTGGGGATCCGAAACCTTCAGCATTAGGATTTAGGAATTTAGGGGTTTAGGGTTAGGGTTTAGCCTTAGGATTTAGGAATTTAGGGCTTTAGGGGTTTAGGGTTTGAGGTTTAGGGTTTAGCCTTAGGATTTAGGAATTTAGGGCTTCAGGGGTTTAGGGTTTAGGATTTAGGCATTTAGAATGTAGACAATTCAGCCGAGGGTTCTATGAGTTGGGCTCCTGGGAAATGCCGCTTGGACTCTGATCAATAAACCCTCCTTTGTCAAGATGATGTGCGTAGTTCTCTAAATTAAGGTCCTTTTTTAGGTCCCAAAGGTAGTACGTCACCCTCATGGAAAAGGAGCCTAACAGGGACCCTAACTTAGAAAGCTACCCTAGACCCTAAACCTATAAGCCTTAAACCCTATCCCCATGTTTGCCCTAAGCCCTGCAACCCAAACCCTAAACCTATAAGCCCTAAACCCAAAACCCAAAAAAAACACGTTTGCCCTAAACCCTGCAACCTAAACCCTAAAGCCATAAGCCTTAAACCCTGAACCTAAGCCCTAAACCCTAAACTCTTCTTTGCCCTAAACCCTATACAACCTAAGAATCCTGATCCCTAAAACCCTAAACCCTACAACCCAAAACCACGAACCCTAAAACCCTAAACCCTACAACCCTAAACCCCTGAACCTTAAAGACCCTAAACCCTGAACCCCGGATCCTGTTCTACACTCTCAGGCCCTGAAAGAATTTGGGGCCCGAAGCGCCCCCAAGCTCCGAAGCTTGGCTTAGGGCTTTAGGGGTTTAGGGGATTTGGGGTTGAGGGTTTAGGGGGTTTAGGGCTTTTGGGCTTTTGGGCTTTAGGGGTTTAGGGTTTAGGGGTTGATGTTTTAGGGTTTAGGGTACAGCGCAAACCACAAAAGCAAATCTCTAGAACTTTGAATGGGTAAAGCTCTTAAACCCCCTCAAGGGCTTGCAAAAGAAGTCCCTATTCGGAGCCCTTAAACGGATTTCCCTCACTCCCCACCTAATTTGGTAGCCTTAAGCGTTATGCGCTGAGGATGCTTTCCTACCAGGTACCCTTAAAAGCGATCTATAAACCGTAAACCCTAAACCCCATAAAGCCTAAACCCTAAACCCCTAAAGTCCTAAACCCTAAAACCCCTAAACCCCTAAACCCTAAAGCCCTAAAGCCCCATGAACCCTGAGGATGCTGAACCAAACCACTGGCGAGTTCGGACATCCGACCTTTACCAACGGCCCGGGCAGGCTTCCAGCCGCCTGGACGCACGGTTCTTTGGGGTTTTTAGGGGTTTAGGGGTTTAGGGGTTTAGGGTTTAGGGTTGAGGGTTTAGCGGTTTAGGGTTTTAGGGTTTTAGGGTTTAGGGTTTAGGGGGTTTAGGGCCTGGACTCACGGTTCTTTAGGGTTTTAGGGGTACTTCAGGACTTATTAACTTAAAGGGTTCCTGAAAAAAGGGTTACTCAGGTTCTCTGAGGGGATTTTAGGGTTAAAGATTTAAATGAAGGATCATGGGACTTAGTAACTAGGATTCCTTGAATATAGGATTTAGGGTTTAGGGAGGATCATGGGACTTAGTAACTAGGGTTCCTTAAAGGAGCTCTTTAAAGGGATCTACGAGGGTTCAAGGCTAGGGGGTGAGGATGCTTAGGGCCGTTAGTTGTGGGATTTGCGACTCTTTGGCGCAGAGGTTTAGCACGCAGGGGTTTCGTGTGCTGTTTCGTTTATTGGGACTGTGGAGCTTTGTCGTGTTTCCATGGCAGGGTTTTAAGGACTGAGCTGGTCGGGCTTCTGTTGATCTTGGAGTGTCAGGGTTTAGGGTTCAGGGTTGATTCTCGATGGTGGTGCATCGCGTCTTTTGTGGTTTAGGATGTCAATCTTCTTGATGACAAGCACTCGACATCATGCCCCTTGCTGCTTCGGGTCAGACATTTAGGATCAAAGCGCCCCAGTTACCCAGAGACTGCAACAGCCCTTAATTAAGGAATATGCCTTAAATCTTATTAGGGTTCCTAGTATAACTTAAGGTATATTCCTTAGTTAAGGGGTTTCGGAGTCTCTGGGTACACCAGTTACACCAGTAGGGCTTATCGCTGATGTTGCACGCAGGTCCTGAAGACTCAACATGGGACTTTCCGAAAATTAGGGGTACCTTATTTCGGGGTCCTTATAACAAG